GGGTGAGGGAGTCCCCGACGGTATTGACGGCGGCGACTTATGACATTACTCTAACACAAAAGCGTTGTTTTTTTGGAATTTTTACAACTCCAACAAATTACAAATACATTGAAAATGAAATACTGAGTGAATTGGTGAATTGCAATTGCAATGAAATTTTCTCATGTATTTATTGTTCTTTCAACCAAAAGGTTAATGATTGTTTGATGCACCCGTCAGATCTGCCACTATATCAAGAGAAATTATTACATCTGGATGAGCTGCGTTCGGATTCGGTGCGAACAGTAGTATTTTAAGTGTTATTGGTGATAGTGTGGTGGTATTATGGTAAGATAATATCATATTACTGCCAATAACATCTAAAATACTACTAGTCGTATTTGCAGAATTCTGATGAAATAATCGCTCCTGTATGAGACCAAAGTAGTATTTTAAGTGTTATTGGTGATAGTGTGGTGATATTATGGTAAGATAATATCATATTACTACCAATAACATCTAAAATACTACTAGTCGTACTTGCAGAATCCTGATGAAATAATCGCTCCTGTATGAGACCACCCTCTTAGAATCTTCGATAGCAAGATGTTAGAGCCCATACAACTTCCTCATTAAACCTTTTGAAGAGATATCTCAAAACAAATACTTTTAGGAAGAGAATGGGAAGTGATTTCTCAAGCCTAAGACTTGTTAAATTGGCAATATAAGCATTTTTTTAAGTGTATATTTTTATTTTATTTTTTTTTTAAATTATATTATGAAAATTCTCATACATACCAATTAATTTAAATGTATTTACCTTTAATGTTTATATAGTGATATGTGTGAGGGGTTGTGAAAGATTTGAATAATAAGATTTGAATAATATAAATGTAAGAAAATAAAGGATTAGTTGTTAGACATGTAAATGCATAGGAGTTAAAGGAGTTAAGAGATATATTTTTATTAATATAAATGCCACTTTTAAATTAAATTTTTTTTATTATTTTTTTAATAAAGAAAAATAATATATTTTTAACATAATTGACATTTAGGGCCCATTTGGGGCAGCTTATTTGGTACGGTGGTATTTTGAAAACGCACTTGACCTGTTTGAGTAAACTGTGTTTTGACAACTTATGCGTT